TTTTTAACTTTTTTATTGAGATCCACAACAACTGGACCTGCCTTCCAAAAAATTTAATCTGTTAAAATCTTAAAATGTTTTCTGAATCATTAAAATTGGACGCTCCGTTCTCTTCAAAACTGAGTTAGCGTTTTTGATTCTTTTTGCCCCGTATCTTCAAAACGACTAGACTTGTTTTTGCCAAAAACTAAAAGAAAACTAACGTCTCCTTATCAATACGAATCCTTGTTCGGTGTTGCAACGAAAATTTAAAAAATCCAACATGAAATACGAGTCTTTATGTTTAAAAATGAAATATTAATATTGCACATACTTTAAAAACAATTGAAAATTTCAAAATATTTGATTATAATCAACCCCTGAATCACCTCGATTTTCTAAATAAATTTAAAATCAATATATTTTATACGCTTTTAGATCATATCTATTTTCTTGTGCACTAAATCCAGAATAATTAAAAATTAATTTATTTATTTCACTTAATATTTTTGTTAAATTGAAGTTATAGAAATTAAGAAATGCATTTCAGAAATAGTATTTATTATTTTGATATCAAGATCTTTATATCAAAATAATAAATACTATTTCTGAAATGCATTTCTTAAATTCTATAATTTTAATCTGACAAAAATATTAATTCTTTTACTATGGAAGTCGAACTTACATCCTTAACCAATTTACTACATTTGAATATTACTAAAATGTTAAGTTATGAAAGGGATTGTTATATTTATTGATATCGTTAATAATAAATAAATTTAAAGTCAATATATTTTATACCCTTCTAGATTTTATCTAATTTGTTGTGTACTAAATCCAGAATAATTAAAAATTATTTTTTAAAAAAATATGTAAATATTTATATAATTTTAATGATAAACTGTTAAAACGGTGAAAATTAATAGGGGGGCGCTAGTAAAAAGGTTGCATGCGGGCGCTAAATACCCCAGAACCGGCCCTATATATACTATAACAGCATATACTAAAACTGATAACTTTTCTTTACCAAATTCTCAAAAACAGCTACTATTGAACAGAATGCGACCATACTTGCAAGACCTCAGAATCATCCCAAATCATCAATTTGGATTTCAGGAGAAACACTCAACCTTAGAACAAGTTCACCGAGTGACAGAGAAGATTATGGACTCATTCCAGTCAAAGCTTTACTGTTCAGCGGTATTTCTCGATATAAGTCAAGCCTTTGACAAAGTTTGGCACCATGGCTTGCTATGGGTGCATTCGACTTGGACGCTTACGCGCTGTGAGCGCGCCGTGAGCGCGCTTTCATCGTTCGACTTGGCGCTGTGAGTTTCACATAAGTACGCTCGTAGCACCATCGTAGGATGCTCGTAGCACAAATTTTGCGCTCACATACGCTCACGCCACAGAGGTAGGGCAGCGTGAGCGTGAGCGTCAGTTGTTTTTACTATCTGTCATTTCATTTGTTTATTAATTGTCAAATTCTTTATAATTCCGCAAAAATGGCAAGCTGTAGATCACAATTATTTTTTAATATTAATATTGATATTAATTAATTTTAAATTTAATTAATTTTAAATAATTTTAAATTTCAATTTTAATATTACTATTAATTAAGCATAAGCTGACCAAATTTCATTTATTTATTAATTGTTAAATTCTATATAATCCCGCAAAAATGCCAAGTTGTATATCACATTTATTTTTTAATATTAATATTAATATTAAATAATTTTAAATTTTAATTTTAATATTACTATTAATTAAGCATAAGCTAACCAAATTTCATTTATTCATTAATTGTTAAATTTTTTATAATCCCGCAAAAATGCCAAGTTATATATCACATTTATTTTTTAATATTAATATTAATATTAATATTAATTAATTTTAAATTTAATTAATTTTAAATTTTAATTTTAATATTAATATGAATTAAGCATAAGCAAACCAAATTTCATTTATTTATTAATTGTTAAATTGTTTATAATCCCGCTGAATGATCCAGAAAGTAATAAAATTTACACAATTACCGTTACCGCCAGTTGCCGCCATTTTGATGCTTATTGACGCTCACAGTTTCCAAAACGAACGGAATTTAGTTATCGATTCTGAGCGCTTATCGGCCAAGTCGAACGCTAAAAATTCGTGCTTATAAGCGTGAGCGCTCACAGCGCGTAAGCGTCCAAGTCGAACGCACCCTATATAAATTAAAAAAAAATATTTCCATCCGTTTTGTTTCAAATTTTAAAATCTTACTTAATGAACAGACACTTTGTAATAAGTATTAAGGATGTAACATCAGCAAAACGCCCTGTAAATTCGGGTGTCCCGCAAGGTAGCGTTTTAGGTCCATATCTATATTTAATTTATACAGCAGATATTCCTGTATCAGATAACACTACAATTCCAACTTACGCAGATGACACAGCCATACTATCACAGCACCATGATCCATTAAAAGCATCCGCACAACTACAGACTCATCTATCGGAAGTTGAACATTGGCTCAAACTTTGGAGATTTCAAGTAAACAATTCGAAGTCTATACATGTCACATTTACCCTCAGGAAAAAATCATGTCCAACCGTTCAACTCTTTAACTACATTCTGTTGATAATTATATACATAAAATATAAAAATATACTAACATCATCTACTTATTTGGTATAAATTTTTACACATTACTTTCATAAAGGATACTTACTTATATCTGGGTTACTGGTGTGTACATATATGTATTAATAATTGATTTATGTACAAATCAATTCAACATATTGACATTAAATTGTATCAAAATCATTAAATAACCAATTGATGCACATATTGCCTAAAATTAGATTAATTTATCACAAGTATTTACAATAGAGCTGTTTTGTTAATTAAATGTTGAATGTACTTACTTGAAACCAGAGTTTAAAATCTATCTTGAATAAACCACTACAAGTGATTTGAGTTCTTCTGTGATGCATTTGAATGGAGTACGACAATAATTTTAACCTTAGTGTATTAGAAATGTAATTGTAGACAAATAAATCTTGAATTATGTCAACGATTTTAATTGCCTACAAATTTAAAACAAAATGTTATTTCGCATGCGCATCAATTAATTGCATTAATAATTCTGAAAGAAATTTGTTTTTGTCGAAAATCCGAATATCTAATCTTATATTTTCTCGATGTTTCAGGTCATTCTGAATCGTTTGACCAGCTATAACTTGACCTTTCGGCGACGTTCTTAATTAAAAACAGTTGTACTGATTTCAAACATTGGCTAAGCCGTTTCTATAATTAACAGGTGAGTTCAAATTTTTTTCGTTCACTAACATTATTAAAAAAAAAATGAAAAAAAATTGGGCTTTAGATAAGGAGAAAAGAAAAAGCCCATGTCTAGAGCAGTTTTTTTCCAATATTCACTTGCAAGTATCAAGCATGAAATTTGCAAATCGGATTTTCTAGCAAAAGCAAAATTTTCTTTCAAAAGGTTAAAAATGGTTACCAAGAATCATTAATTAACAAAGGTTCCAGATATCTGGCTAACGATACTAAATAATTATGGTAACTTGATTGTAATTGTAGAGTAACTAAAAAAAATCGAGATAAACTTAATTCTGTCACAAATTAAAACAATAAAGTATGCTTATTTGATGCAGGCGAAATAGCTTGATATTTACCTTTCTGGTACATTTCTCGGAAACGTAATAGGGTAACACCATGTTCACAAAATTAAAAATGAACCACCAGACATTTATGAAAATATTCATAATATTTTCTTTGTTTTGTGTACCAAATATGTTCATCATCAGCCAAAACGCTGATATACTGCATTCTGAACATATGTATAACAATGATGATGCTCTTACAAAGCCATAAATTTCATTAAACTCTTCCAGCAGATCACATAAATCACTATGAATCTTTAATAATTCAACAAGTTGATCATCAAATAGATTTTTACTGGTGTTTCTATTAATAATGACTCTTGAATATATTGCTACTGTTTCATTAATTACATTGAAACGACAAGATAGTGCATAAATACAGTTTACAGTCAAATATATTAACAGCAAACATTTACTGCAAGTTAAATGATATATTGAACCTATTACAGCCTTACTTAAAACCTTCTTCAAAATCAATTTTTATATATATGAAAATTATCGGGCAAAAATTTAATATGAAAAAGCTCATCAACCACACTGATAAATAAAATGTGTTTGAATTCACTTTTTCAGTTTCAATCAAGTTTGACGAATCGATTTTTACAAACCATTGCCATATCTTTCTTATGTTGTTTGAATCTGTAATTATCATTGATGTTAAAAATATAACAATGCATGTTAAACCACAAGCTTCTATAAAAAATAATGTTGAATTATCAATTAAACTCATATGCCTGTCAAGTATCCTTGTCAAGTTTAAGAAACACACTATGATTATATAGATTAATGATAAATATTTTAACGCTAACCCTGCATAAGATAATTTATACACATATTTGTTAAGACTATATTGATGTATATCTAGCTGTATCACCCCAAACCATTTTAAACAAAGATGTAATGGATAAATATTTAATAAAATAAACGAATCTGAATGTATAGCAATATTTTTTAAATTTTTAATTTGTTTTTGAATTCCCATTTTAACTACAATAACTTATAGAGCATAAATAGTAATTATTTTGTGAAACACAAAGGTAAATATGTATGAACACATCGATTAAACTAATGAAAGTTACCACCTTTAACATACCAAATAAATTAAATATTTATTTTATCTCAAATCAATAATACGTACACACTCTAGACAAAATTAAGTAAATTAATATACCATACATCTGTAATATTATAAACGAAGTTATGAATTAATTGGAAAGTAAAAAATGTCAATAGATATGTTCTCATGCAGTGCATGAACTCCAGAAAAGATTGGTCGAAGTAAGTTATGAAATTATTTATCAGAACAAAAGCTCCTGAAATTAATTCTTCATACAAACTCAAAAACATACTTTTTATGCGTTTTATTATATGAAGTTATACAATCATTTATTCATTTTCTTGTGAGCGGAGTCTGGCATTGCCGTTTGTGACTCTGATGGACAATTGTTTGGCTCTCTCTGTGATCTCTTTACGTTTCTTCGAAGAAACACCATGTGCAATTTCAGCGCAGTATGTCCTATTCTGCATCATTAGGATTTCAAGTTCCTTGGTATTATGTACCAAAACCTTGTGGAATCCAGTAGGTAACATATGACGGGTCTTGCTGTTGGATCCATAACCAATGTTGGGCATCAAAAATTGGCCCTTGAAACGACGACGTACTCTGTTGTCAATACCTTTTGGTTTACGCCAGTTTCTCTTAAGTTTATCATATCGGTCAGATTGATGGCGAATGAACTTTTTCGTTCGCTTCTTGACAATCTTCGGGCGATACACAGGTCGGATAGACATTTTGAAGTTTTGAGGTTAAATCTAAACACAAAACAATTTTAATAAGATACACTATTCTAATAATAAATTTGAGACTTTTTTGAATAGAAAAATAAATATTTACTTACTATAATGTTTATTGCAACACAAAACTAAATCAGAAGAAATAAATCACACGTGCACACCGTAAAGTAGCCGTGGAAAAGGTCTCGGCCGTAGATACGCGTAGTGGGCTTGATGTCGCGATTTTGGAGTGTTGGCGATTCTGACGGGAAACGGAGTGAAGTTAGATAAAAGTTTGCAACAAACTTCAACAAAATAATCGATTTTATATTTTTATTTTATTAATATATATATACTATTTCTTTATACTAGTCGAAGAGTGATTAAATTATAATTATTCTTTTAATTTAATGAACCAGTTGAGTGAATTGTAAAGAAAACAATTCCTGTCAAAATATCACTTTCACATTATCGTAACTATCGATTAATAAGCTAAATATTGATAATCTATAATACCAACATAAAATTGACTTCCAATCTTCCAAATACATTTTTTGTTATGTTTTTTACAGATAAATAAAAATAACGACATGCATAAATGCGATTTCACATAAATAACATAAAATTTATTTTGAATTAGTCAATACAGAAAATGATGTATTTTCTATTACACTATCTGAAAAGTCTTCCGTCTCCGCATTTTTGCAAACATCAGCACTCTTTGGTAGAATAATTTATTTAATTAGCGAAAATTGCCAAAACATTGTTCACGAGATTTTTAGATTTAAATTTATCATAATAGTCTTGACCTTTTACTAGTAATGTCAACATGATAAATTGTAATAGATCGTATAATTGATAATTCAAATAAGGGATATCACTTTTTTACGCCAACAAGTGTTGCAAATAAAGTAGCTTGCTCAATTAATTTATAATAAATTAATACAAGGTTGTTTGTAGGTTATTTATTAAATATTTTCAAGTTTATATGTAAATATGTGGAACTTTTCGCGTTTTATTCGCAGGTATATAATTATTTGTTACTATTATTACTATTTTGTTTGGCTTTATAATAACTTTTATTAAAATTTTATTTCATGTTATTAGTGGATCTTCACAAAACCCAGTGATTTCACGATGGCGTTCAACGCAAGTAAAACCTTCTATGGTTTTAAAACCAATAAACAAAGTATTAATTGCAAATCGTGGAGAGATAGCCTGCCGTATTATGAGAACAGCTAAACGATTAGGAGTGCAAACGGTTGCTGTTTACTCAGATGCAGATGCAAAATCGATGCACGTTCAAATGGTAGATAATTGTGTTTAACAAGACAATTAAGAGATTTGTCTCCATACAATATTTTTGCAGGCAGATGAGGCCTACAACATCGGTCCTCCACCTTCACAACAATCATATCTGTGTGCAGATAAAATTTTAGATGTAGCAAAAAAATCAGGTTCTCATGCAGTTCATCCCGGATATGGTTTTTTGTCAGAAAATTTGGAATTTGCTGAAGCTTGCCAGAATAGTGACATAATATTTATAGGACCACCATCTAGTGCTATTAGGGACATGGGTATTAAAAGGTACTATACAGATAAAAAAAAGTCCTTACTATGTTACTAATTCATTACTATTTTTGCATATGATTATATGAAAACCTTTCAATAAAAATGAAATAAAGCATCTTCAACATATATTTTCCAAATCTAAACTTCATTTTTCTAGTTTAAAATGAATAAAATCTGTAATCTCTACTTAAATTTAGCAAAAGAATGCATATCATTTTTATATTTGTTTTTTTTTTTTAATTATTTTAGTACATCCAAAGCTATCATGTCAGCAGCTGGGGTTCCTTGCATTAAAGGTTATCATGGGGATGATCAAAGTGATGAAAAGTTAATAGCTGAAGCTGAGCGTATTGGATTTCCTTTGATGATCAAAGCTGTTCGAGGTGGAGGTGGTAAGGTAAATATAGTTTTTGATTTTTTTCAACTTGCTTTTGTTTTCTTATTATCGCTATTTAATAAGATTATCAATAACAGTTAAATGTAAGATAAGAGATGTTTTGAACATATAAAATGATATTTAATATTTTAAAATTTATCATCTTTTTGAAAATTTAGATATGTTGAATGCAAAACCAATGAATACATTTCAACCTTGAACCCAGAGTATTTCAGGGCCAGGTTGAAAAAGAAACTAATTTTACATTAATCTCTGTCAATTTTAAGTTCTGATAACAACCAGAATATTTTGTATTTTCGAAGCCTAGGTATTTTTAAGTTATCTTAGGAAAGGTATAAAAACTATTGTACAATAACAAATAAGATTTACACCTCTAGAATACAATAACATTCTAAATTTTATTTTTTGAGCTTGATATTAGCTATTTATTAATATTATCTTTTATTACTAGGGTATGAGGATGGCTGAAACAATGGCAGATTTTCTACCAGCTCTGGAATCTGCTAGAACAGAATCCCTGAAAGCTTTTGGTGATACCAACATGTTACTTGAAAATTACGTAACACAACCAAGGCATGTAGAAGTCCAGGTCTTCGCCGATAAGTATGGTGAAGCTGTTCATCTATTTGAACGTGACTGTTCTGTACAAAGAAGACATCAAAAAGTTATTGAAGAAGCTCCTGCAGTAAGTACTATCATTTTTAACACACACAAACATGTATATGTATTTTAATTATATTTTAGATCTTTATTGTATAATATCAACATATGTTTGTTATTATTGTATCTTGAAATAATGTTATTGTATTTTAGCCTGGAATTAGCCAAGAACTTCGAATGGAACTTGGAGCTGCTGCCGTGAGAGCAGCAAAAGCTGTGGGATATGTTGGAGCAGGAACTGTTGAATTTATACTTGATAAAAAGTCTCATGCTTTTCATTTCATGGAAATGAACACTAGATTGCAGGTTGAACATCCCATTACTGAATATATAACAGGTATTAACTATATATGAATTTATTATAAAATGTTCATGTATAAAGTTCAATATTGTAGAATATGATTTATATTTTAAATTTAATAATGTTTCCATTCTGAAGTTTTGATTTTCTAGGTTTTAGTATTTTATTAATCAAACATAGTATGTTAAATACAATTTAAAGAATATTGTATGACTCTTTAATTTCAGCATAGCATGAATTAAATTTTTTAATTTTTATTTAGTTATTTAACATGATATTCTTTATAATTACTTAGTTATTTATTTTAATTCAACTAATAGAGTTTGCATAATAATTATAAGGAATTTACCTGTTGTTTTCAATTATATTAATATTTTATTATTGAACTTTATAATTATGAATTTTCAAATATCTTTTCAGGGACTGACCTTGTTGAATGGCAACTTCGAATAGCAGGTGGAGAACCATTGCCTGTAACACAAGAGGATATTACGTTATCAGGACATGCTTTTGAAGCACGTATTTATGCTGAAGATCCCAGAGGAGGATTTTTGCCTGGAGCAGGACCATTGAGACATCTTCGGCCCCCACAGACTGCAACAGATGTTCGTGTTGAAACAGGTATAAAAGATTGTTATTAGTATTAGTTATTTTGTGAATAAATATTATTTTTTTTGTATTGTAAAAAAAACTTATATGATTTTCACAATTCTTATTGAACTTTCTTGGGTTTGAATAAAAATAAAAATGTTTATGAATTAGGTGTTCGAGAAGGTGATGAAGTATCCATTCATTACGATCCTATGATTGCTAAATTAGTTGTTTGGGGAGAAGATAGAACCCAAGCTCTTACCAAACTCAAAGCTAAATTGACAGATTATCATGTAAGTTTATTTGAATATTTAAAATAAAACTTATATATATATATATATATATATATATATATATATATATATATATATATATATGTATTACACTTGGTATGTTAGGTTTAATGTTTACAATTAATTTTCAGATTATGGGATTAGAAACAAATGTAAATTTCTTGCTTGATCTTGCAAGTCATCCAAATTTTGCTGCAGGAGATGTACATACTGGTTTCATAGATGAACATAGAGAATCTCTGTTCCCACCACTACTTGCTGATGAGACAAGCATCGGTCAAGCAATCATGGGCTTGATTTTAAATGAGAGAGTAAGCAATGTAAAAAATGCTTATTCTACTAAAAAGATGGACTCACCATATTTTCAAGAAATGGGATTCCGATTGAATCACTCTTTGGAAAGAACAATTAAATTAACTCACAATGATAAAGGTAAATTGAATCAGTATTGAAATAAATAAATGAAGTAAAATCAGTATTGAACAATAATAAAGGTGCTGTCAAACATATTTTATATGACTTAAATAAACATAAATACTTAAATTAATATAATGAAAAGCTAAGAGCTACAGTACTATATATATAACTAATTTTCACTTGATAATATTTTCAATATAGAATAGTTGTTTCAAAAGATTTGTATACATACTTGATTTAAATTTGATTTAAGCTTTGGAATAATATATAAATTTTCATAAAATAATCATTTATGCATAGTCACAAAACTTTTTGTAATTTCTATTTTTTATAGAAGGTGATAGAAAATTAACGATAACAAATAATGATTTACAATGCACATACATAAAAGATAAATGTATTAGTTTTTTCAATTATTAATTATTATAACATAATTTTAATTATTCTTAATACTTCAATTTTCACAAATTTAAAGCATATATTGAAAAAGTCAATATTTAACCTAATAATTATTTTAATGACTTCATTAGATTGAGTTTTAAATAAATTATAATTTCATGACTTTATTGGATTGTAATTATAAATTCTAAAGTTTCCAATTTATTTCATAAAGTGTACAAATATGAGAATAAAGCATTCATTTTTGCTATTTAAACTTATTTTTAAAGGATAGTAAAATATATTAGAATGAGTTATTATGTTGGAAATGCGAGTACTGATTATTGCTTCAAAAGAGCATAAATGAAATTGAAATGTGCAAACACAAAAAAAAATTGACTAAAATATTACTCCAGTATGTCAATAAAATAACTCTTATTTATATTTTTTAGATATTACTGTACAATTACAGCAAGTCTCATCAAATGTATTCCAAATGAAAGTTGGGCCTGAAGGGCAGTGGCGTACAATGAAAGCCGTTCTCACTGAAAAGGGAGGTGGTGCTTTAAAACTGACTTTAGACGGTGTTATTAGTAATTGCAGTGTTGTCATGGATCATGATATTTTATCTGTATTCGATGTGGTAAGTGCTTAACATTAAATGTAGATAATTGAAAACTTTAACTGTATTGAAATAAATATAAGATTGCTAAATTTAATTTTGTAACTATGTGAGTAGTTGTTTAAGTACAAACACTTATGTATTTTTTCATATGTTATGACATATAATTTTATGCAATCATCGGTGAATGGGAAATAATTGAAGAGTAGACTTTGTAAAATTAATTAATAATAATATATATATAATGTTCTAGTAATAAATATAAAACTTTTGAGAAGACAAACTATAGCAAATATCCGAGGTACAATCTGAGTCTATATAATTCTAGCTTTTTATATATTCTGATAGCTATATGTAATCTAGCTTTCAAGCAATTAAATTCGAATATTTTTTTATTTTTTCTCAGGGTGGCCGAAAGGATTTTAAATTACATGTACCCAAATTTATAACCAGTGCAGGAGATGGTGGCAGTGGAGGTAGTGCAGGGGCTGCTGTTTCTCCAATGCCAGGTGTTCTGGAAAAGCTTTTTGTTAGTCCAGGTGATAAAGTTGAGAAAGGTACTCCACTTGCAGTTATCATTGGTAAGTAATTTGATACAACTATCATTAAACATTAATATAAGTATTTTGGTCTTTAATTAAAAATGTGCAATATTTACCTAATATTTGATGGCGCAAATATTTGATTTTTTTATTCTAGCTTTGAATAAATAACTTAAATTATTGATTCCTTTATTTTATCTTTAATTATTGTAAATGTTATGACAATTTGTACTTCTCAAAATTTTATAAACAAATGGAAAATATATTTATCATTATATTGAATGCTGGGTCTAAATAACTATTTACAAATAAATTTATTTATCTAGCAATGAAAATGGAGCATGTAATCAAGGCTTCAAAAGACGGTACTGTGGCTTCTGTGAATTCCAACTTGGGCAAAAGTGTACAAAAAGGAGCTACCATTGTGAAATTTGAAGAAGATGCTAAATGATGCAGGTGAAATAGATTTAATTATCAACAATTAGAAGAAAAAAACGTTTATCTTTTTATACATTTTTAAGTCTTCGTATTTTTTTAAAATATCAGACCTGTTATGTCGGTTTTAGACCTAAAGCTAAATTTCTAAAAGTGCAAAGCAATTTAATTTTTCTATAACTCAACAATACATACTTAAAATCGGATTGAAATGTGATTGTGGTATAATTCTATCTATGAAATTTTATTGTCATAACATTCCAAACACAGGATGACTGGAAGAATAATCACACATTTTAATGTTTTGATTATTCTTTTCCTATTTAAGAGCTTTAATTTATTATGTAAAATTATATGATATATTTTGAACTTGAGAAGTGATTTGCGTGCGTAGTAACTCAATGATATATATTGCACTGAAAAGAAAATTTATTTATTATTTGTGCCTTAAAAAATATTAGCAATATTTTTGTGATATTTTTATAAGCAGTTTATATACCAAAGGTGTACAGAAAAAATGATATTTAAAATCATAAATTTTTCAAATGCAAATCTTCTCGAATAGTAAATGGCATGGGGATATTCTTATTTTTAGTAATAAAACATTGTTCCCATATTTTATATTGGGGTATTTAAAGGTTCTTGATGATCTATTTGTAAAGTAAATTAAAAATAATTGTGTATATAGTATAGATGTATGGGTAATTTATTTAAGTTTATTATATTTGTAGATGCATTTATAATCTATGTACAAAAATCGTAACGTTATAATATTTCTTTGTTATATTATATTTAAATAAATTTTATAAATGTTTTAATCTTGAATTTCTTTAAACTCCATTTTTTAATATATTTTTTAAATTCATAATGATTTTCAATAAATTAATAAAGTATATTTTAAAAACTTGTATTAAACTGCAATAAAATTAATAAATACGTTGTAGCTGCCCCGAGTGCCTGAAAAGAAATATTATTCAAATAATATAAACTTAATTTGAAAACAATCTTAAATAAAAGTTTCGAGGATATAAAATTGTATTATTATATTATATTAATTAAATGTGAACGGATTTTTTTTGTTCTGACAGATAACTGATGTATTAACAATATAATCATAGTAATACAAATAGTGATTATACTTACGTTATACCACAATGCAAAATCCAAATTAAACATTCCATTGCAACTTAACTTGAGGTCTCTGTGAAACATTTGTAAAGAGAAAGACAGAAGCCGAGGTTTCCATGATGATGGTGTTGCTTCATTTATCAACATATCGTGAACAATTGTTATTCCATACCTCGCCTATAAAAAATAATAAAACAAAGTTATTGAATTATAATTAAATATAAAAACTAGGATTTTATTTTCTACCATCATTATTTCAATTCAAACATTTCATTCCTTTATTACATGTTTTATCGATATGAGTAATAAGTAATAATAAGGTTTTTTACATTATTTGCCCATTTTAAATTGGACGCTCACACACCATATTTTCTTTTTTATATCTAAACCATCATGGTTTTAGTAGACATTAATTTGTTTTCGACATTTTTTTTTTGATAATAAATTTCACTGTTACATATATAAAGTAATCGATATATTGATTATAATATATATTATAACTTTATGAATTAAATTGCACAAAAGATACCATTTTTCATGATACTGATACCATTCTAACAAATTTTAAAATAATCCCTGATCATAATTGACTATTTTTATTACATAAATTTATGAATAAGTGAGAATTTTCTTTTTTTTATTGTAATCCAAACTGACCTGCTCTAAACATTTTTCGCACATGTAAATAGGATAAGTCACCAATATTATATCGCCTATTTCCCACCAAATATACATGAGAAAAAAACCATAACTAAAATCTTTATTTTCAAAATGCAAGTGGGCCAGTATAATAAATGCTCCATAACTTATTTCTGAATAAATTGATAAAAGACTTGTTGCTCTCAAAATTCCATATATAGAATTAAATTTGTCTAGTAAGTTTTGTAATTCGTTATACGAATCCAAATATGAAAATAAATCATTGGTGTTTGTACAATTCAATATTTTTAATTGACTATAAGATAATTTTGACAGACGTATCAGCTCTGTATTAATTATCCTAAATCGTTGGCGTAATATGTAAGCCGCGTTTACCATTAAATATAATATAAAAGTATCTCTTACATGAGAGAGTTGATATATTAATGAAATCAATAAATGGACCGGTTGCGAATCTAAGTAAATTTTAAAAATAAATGTACAGTTTAGTGGCGCATATGTAACTAAGAATATAAAAACTATTAATAAATTTGTTTTAAATGTATTCTTGTATAAATATTTTCTATTCAAATAATATTTTAGGTCGATTTTTTCAAGTTCTGAATACCACACTGGTATATTTTTTACATTTGCCGAATCCGTTCCTAACATCGCAAAAATTGATATGAATATTATTGATAAGCCGTATGCATCGGCGAAGTATATTGTTTTTTCATCAACAAGTTTTAACTTTCTTTGTAAAACGTTAGTCACAAATAACGATCCTACGACTAAACTGTAGATTACAATTATATACTTTATGCACTTGCTAGTTTTCGATACTTTATATAATTTAATATTCTTTTCACAAACGCTTTCCAACGGTATTATTCCGAACCATTTAAAGCAAAAGAAAAGCGGCGCATTTCCATCATAAATATCATAGACGTTATAATATTTTGTACATAAATAATTCAAAATTTTTGGTTTCTTCATTTTGATATATTTTATTTCAATGTCTTGCATGCGTATTTTACTCATGAAACTTATGAAACTGTGAATATAACATAAATTGTATTGCATCTTCATAAATTATGAGTATCCATTAAATTTAATTGATATCTTCTCTATCATTTTTACATTAATAATGTTGCTTTCATTAAAATTAATGGTAGTACATTTTTTTATATCGTGGAGTATTTGTAATTTAGGCTGGATCGTTTCTTTTCATATCGATGAATGAAGATATTATTAACTTTCTTTAGGAGAAATTTGTTATTTGAAAAAAATTAGAAAACCAAATTATCTCACGCTGTTTGGAAAATATGAAGCTTTTAAGTGCAACCTAGAGCTTTGGTCAAATTATGACGATTTTTGGGTCATTATGGTTAACTTTTAATAATTTTGTTCATTTAAACTTTGGAACCGTATTTTTAACGTAACCGTAAATAAGTAAAAAACACGTTTTCGAGAATTAAGACAACTATGGATTTAAAATACTTAAAATCGGTCAATTTTCAGAGGCCTTCCTTTAAAAAAATGTACTAACGTGTATTGGAAAGTTTCATCAAGAGTTGGCGCAATTTATAAGGATTGTAAAATGGTAAAATACTTGATAATTTTATTATTGAAAAAAATTTAATAAACAATTAAAATCTAAATGTGACGTGATTTTTACTAACTATAACTTGATATATTTTACTCATATTCGATTCAAAAGTTTCTCCCTAGCGCGTACGACAAGTATTTGAACTAATTGTAAGTAAAATGTACTAGAAAAAAATAAGTCATTTTTAGTTCAATAATAAAATTATCAAGTATTTTACCATTAAACAATTTTGATTACATGCGCCAGCGTTTGATGAAATTTGCCAGCACCCTTAATTACTAAAGTACTAAAGTTTAGTACATTTTTTTTAAAAAAAAGGGCTTCTCCAAGTCCATCGATATTAAAAATCTCAATTTCTAGTTCAACAAAAAATTTCGATTCTTGAAAGCTTGATGCTCATAATTTCCAAACAACGTGAGATATTTTTTTCTAAATCCGTTTCGACTTGACGTAAAGGTTTGGGACACCATGTATATTAATTAATATATTTTAAGAGTTAAATAGTAATGACTTAAATAGTAATATCACTACTATCAAATATAATACAAACAATAAGTTGTTTAGTCGATAAACTTGTATTGTAATAATTTAATTTTCAATCTAAGACATTGATAGAATTATCAAATAGATAGATCAACTATTATTCTGTTTGAAATATTTTCATTTTGACTGTATCAACAAGGGGCTCTATATAAAATAAATAAAAAGAAAGTTGTATTTACCTTCATCATGCAATCTTCACAAGAACGAATGAAGAATATTAGATTGAAGAAAATGTACGATATATGCAAAGTGTATGTCACCGTCATATGTGTGAACATTTCTGATGGTGCATTCAAACTTCCTTCGGAAAAAAAATCGAACAATACTAATATTATGACAAGAGTGCCTTGACAGAATGAAAATAACCCAACTGCAAGAATAATTAAGAAAGTGTCTTCAAAATGTTTGTTGACATCATCCAATTTATCACACAGCTCATTATATAATTTAAGAGTTTTTGTTAATTTTCGATAATTATTTGTTAATCTCAAGTTGATCGAATTTACCGAATAGGTGTATTTTGTCATATTTTGCAATTTCAATATTCTGAGATAATTATTCATATTACCAAACTCGTATTTTATTAAGTGAAGAAATAATTCAAATTCTTTAAGTATGATATTGAATACTATAAATGGAATAGAGTATATTAGAGTTAGACTATAAGCAGCTTGTCCAAAATCTTGTGGTATATATAAGAAGTCATGTGTCATCATTATTAAACCAGCAGCCAAACTGATCGTGATGGTAAAAATCATAGTTCCACAAGAAACTTTGTTGGTTTTTGAACTTCCAAATATTTTATGAAAATCTTTATTTATTCTATTTATATCAATTATATCACATAATATTTGACTTCTATAAAAGTTTATAAAAACGTTGATCAAAATATACGATGCGATATTTAAAAATATATTTAGCATGTGCAGCATTAAAGTTAATTTTGATACAAAACTTCCTAACACTCCATCTATTGTAGCTTGAAATGAAAAGACGAAGGATATCAGCGTTACAATAAAAACTATTACGTTCCAAAAAATTCCCAACAAGAAGTGTTTTTTTTTTTTTTTTTTTTTTTTTTTCCTTTTTTTTTTTTTTTTTTTTTTTTTTATTTATTTATTTGGTATAATTCATACATACTGTATCTCAGTCAGACAATTGTTCTGGTATGAGAGATCACAGCAATTATAACAAAGATAAAATCTAAATTTTATGTAACAGACTTAAACATTAAGACATATATTTTTACTTATTACTATTATATACACATATATACACACACAGAAGCGCTTGCGTACATACATACATACTTATACTTAAATGTAATGAAGTGTTCA